GAATACATAAAATTTGTCATACTTCATCTTTGAAATAACCTTTGAAAATTATTTGCAGTATCTTACATATGTATTTCACATATGTATTTCTTATTCTTTTCTTTCAAACCTGCATACTAACTTGAGTCACCAATTTAAGATGATTTGTCTCCATCATTAAGTGTGAAACTTGATTATCTCAAGTATGACTATTTTCATATATGCTTACTCAGGAATTACTTTTGTCTGAGATTTTAACCGCTTCTGCTTGATATTTCTAGTCAAAAATGTGAACAAAGGAAACAATATTTAATAAAACATAAATATAACTGGTTCACAGAGAATGCCTAAATAAAAGTATTATTTTTTAATCTGAGAATAATTCTAAAATCAAGACATTAAAATATTCACTATTAACATCTTATTCTAGCATGGACTACTGTTAACATTTCCTTACTCTAAACTTGACATCACTTTATTCAAATTTGGAGTAATGAACAAATGACTCAAGTAACAGTTACAGAAAATTTTACTGAATACCTTAGGGTCTTTGGAGTAAATGCTAAGAGGAACCAACATTTACATAATACAGGCATTCACTCATATTATAAATTCAAGCCTCACAGAATATAACATTCTCTCTAGTTTCCTATTTATATGTTCTTAAAAGACAGTATAAAATTAAGAGAAACCAACAAAACTGAAACAGAGAGGAAAGGTTGAAAAAGAGATTGGAATTAGTTCTTTTCCAAGACCAGACTGATTTTATCTAAGCACCCATTCGCCATGGTTGGTCCCTGAGCCATGGATTATGGGGAAGGAGAATAAAGTTTAAGGCAAGTTACAAATCTGGGTAATATTCATGTTAACATAATCCTATTTTCCTTTAAAACAAAAAGATAAGTGGCCTTTTATGAGGAATCTAGACATTTGAGCTTAAAGACAATCACCATTCTTTAAAGCAGTAACTGTTTATGTAATAATAAAAAAAAAATTTAAGCTTGTCAAAATTTTTAACTGCCATTAAAACCAAGAGAGGACAGATAAATATAAAAAGAAAAAATACATATATTTATCATAAATTTGATTTATATCAGTAGACAAGAGTGGTAATACCTCAAGAGTAAAACCTTTACTTTTCTTTCCTATGTCCTTCTTAACCATTATACTTTTCCTTGGTATAAAGAGAAAGTATGAGCTTTCTTAAGGGAAAAAAAAAAATCAAACCTACACAAAAACAGACAAATGCAAATAGAGTCATTTTATATATGAATGACCCATTCTCTTTAAAAATGCCAGTCAAGGAGACATAGAAATAATTTGAAAAAAAAAGTTCCAGATTAAAAGAGACTAAACAGACAGCAACTAAATGCAATGCATGATCTTGGACTGGATTGAGATTAAAAAATTCTGTCCTAATGACATTATTGAGTCAATTGTAGAAACATAAATAAGATATCCGATTAGAATTTGAATGTCATTCTTAGCAAATCAACACTAAATATTTAGGGGTAAAGAAGCATGATATCAGAAAAATACTTTTCAATGATTCAATCAAAAAAAAAAATATGTAAAGCAACAATAAGGCAAATGTAGCATAATGTGAACAACTGGTGAATCTAGACAAAATAAATAATAAGAGTTCTTTGAATTTATTCTTGCAACTTTTCTGTAATTCTGAAATTTCTTAAAAATGAAAACTTAAGCAGTGAGGGGAGACTTACACAGTACTTTGTACATAATTTATATATTTGAATTACAAGATGCAAAACAGCTGAACAGAACTAAGTCATTGATCAAATAAATGGTTATGTATTGGTCTCAACGTGGCTCAGTTATTCTAAACTTGAGGTGGGGGAGGGGAAATATGGAATAAAAACTTCGGCAAATTCTTCCACCCAGAACGCAAAGATAAAACTGGCAAAATTATAAAATACAATCATTTCACAACTCTGGAAATTAACCAAAGGCATATAACAAATTGAAAAGTGCTTTTTCAAAAAAAAACTACTACTGAACTTAAGTAAAAACAGTGGAGTCTATGGCATATTAACTTGCGGCTGCTCCCAGTTATTTACGCACACTTACACACACACATACACGCGCACGGGTTTACTTCTTTGGGTATGACACCTGCGAGGACCAGCAGATGGAAGGGAGTTGGCCTGATTTAAGAGCTCCACAGAAAAGCTACATGCACAGGTCACCAAAAACACTAGTGGCTACTGACAATCCAGGAAGGCCAACAGCACAGCTGCCTAAGGCTGTGATAGTGTTAGAGCAAGCAAGAGTTCAGTCAAATTTTAAAAGGATATTTAGGAAATGAGGCAGCCACAGGAGTCTTTGAAAAGCTCCATCATTTTCCTGGGAATCTGGAAGGATAGACACAGATTCAAGAAGCCCTGCTGATTTACTCATTCTTGGCTAAACCTTGAGACCTTTATGTCTGGTAAAAAAATACAAGCAGAAAGTAAAAGCCATGGTAGACTTGCAAACTGCCTGAACTTTACCCCATCACACAGACTCCCTCAGAAAAAGATGGAAGCCTTACCTACTCAAAACGTTTGAGGAACATTTTCTAACCAGTAAGCTGTACTGACTGACCAAAGGAAGACATTTAGTACGCCAGGCTCAAAAATAAAAACAAAAATTAAACAAACAAACAAACAAAAGGTGCACGGGGGGGGGGGGCAGCAAACACCAAAAACTGCAGTGAAAACAGACTCCACACAATTAGTTCAGGTAAGTCACTGAACAAAAAAAAAAAAAAAAACCCAGAAACCACCACCATAACTTAGGAAAAAGGTTCGGAATCCAGAGTTGCTACAATATACTAAAAAAAAAAAAAAAAACCCAGAAACCACCACCATAACTTAGGAAAAAGGTTCGGAATCCAGAGTTGCTACAATATACTAAAAAAAAAAAAAAAAACCCAGAAACCACCACCATAACTTAGGAAAAAGGTTCGGAATCCAGAGTTGCTACAATATACTAAAAAAAAAAAAAAAAACCCAGAAACCACCACCATAACTTAGGAAAAAGGTTCGGAATCCAGAGTTGCTACAATATACTAAAAAAAAAAAAAAAAACCCAGAAACCACCACCATAACTTAGGAAAAAGGTTCGGAATCCAGAGTTGCTACAATATACTAAAAAAAAAAAAAAAAACCCAGAAACCACCACCATAACTTAGGAAAAAGGTTCGGAATCCAGAGTTGCTACAATATACTAAAAAAAAAAAAAAAAACCCAGAAACCACCACCATAACTTAGGAAAAAGGTTCGGAATCCAGAGTTGCTACAATATACTAAAAAAAAAAAAAAAAACCCAGAAACCACCACCATAACTTAGGAAAAAGGTTCGGAATCCAGAGTTGCTACAATATACTTAAAAAAAAAAAAAAAAGAAACCATAGAAAATATGAGATTTCCATAGTTGCCACATTATATTTAATATGTCTAGATTTCAACAAAAAATCACGAAACATACAAAGAAACAGAAAAGTGTGGCACATTCATAGGGAAAAAATTAATTCAACAGAATTCAAGAGAATCCAGGTATCAGACTTAGTTTAACAAATATTGACAATTAAATCAGTTATTATAAAATGCTTACAAAACTAAAGAAAAGTATGATGACAATGATTCAAACACAGAATATCAATAAAAAGAGAAATTATAAAAAACAAAATAGAAACTCTGGAGTTGCAAAGTACAATAACTGAAATAAATATACACTACACAGGCCCAGCATCAGATTTGACCTCGTAGAAGAAAAAATATCAGTGAACTTTAAGACAGGTCCATAAAGACTATCCAGTCGGAAGAGCAGGAAAAAAAAAAAAAAATGAAGAGAGCCACATTAATTGTACTAACATATGTATAATTGGAGTCCTGAATGGAGAAGAGAGGAAGGGGCAGGAAGAAATAATAATTGAAAAACCTTCCCAACTTGGTGACAAACATTACTCTACACATCTACAAAGCTAGTCAAATACCAAGTAGGATATACTCAAAGAAATCCACACCCACACACATCATGGTCAGTTGAAAGATAAAGAGAAAATCTTGAAAGAAAAAAAGAGAAAACTCAGTATGTACGAAGAAGGAAACCTCAGTAAGATTAATAGCTAACTTCAAAACAATAGCAGTCAGTAGGCAGTGAGATGAAATATTCAAAATACTTAAAGAAAAAGTGTGTTAAGAATTCTATATGTGTCAAAACTATTCTTCAATAACAAAGGTGAAATTAAGACACTGTCAGATAAGCAAAGACTGGGAGAATTCATTTCTAGCACACGTTCCCTTACAAGAAATTCTAAACTCCTTCAGGCTGAAAATAAATGTCAACAGAAGGAAAATTCAAACCCATATTTTTATAAAGATCTTTCGGAACGGCGTAGCTACATAGGTAAATTTTTAGTCTTTTCTTAATTAAAATATAATTGCATAAAATATGACAAATTCAAACCCATATTTTTATAAAGATCTTTCGGAACGGTGTAGCTACATAGGTAAATTTTTAGTCTTTTCTTAATTAAAATATAATTGCATAAAATATGACATATATAGATGTCACCTGTATGACAATAACAGTTCCTTTCCCTCCCTCCTCCTTTGTGTTATTCTAGAGCAAAGTTCCTATATGTATTGGAATAAAAAAAGAATTAATATGAAATAGATTGTTTTAAACTGAGATGCACAGTATAATCCTCAGAGCAACCAAAGAAACCCCATCGATGGTATACTGCACATTCAAAATATGCATGGAAACAAACTAAATATTGCACCACTCAGTTTTCATGTTGCAACACTTCAAAGTACCTGTACATTTTATATTAATGAAAGCTACACAGTCAAAGAAGATAGAATGTAAATTAATATAAAATTACTGATAAAAGGAATAAACCCTTCATTCCATATTTCCTCTTTACAACTAATCCTCAGTAACACTGAGAGTACACTGTATCTAGTAGACATTTCTCTTCACACAATCAAATGCTCAAAGGCTACACATAGTAATCACTTTACTCTATAAATTAAAAAGCCATTTCTTTTGCAAAGGACAAATAATACTTTAAAGAATCCTTGGTAAGATTTTTATAATCTATAATTTTCATTAAATGCTTAAAAGTTTACATAATTACAAATCAAGGCAACAACTCTATATTCACAGAAATGCTTTCAAGCTATAAAAACCTATGACTAATCTTTTCTAATTACACGGTACTCTGAAAAGATAAGAAATTTTGGCACAATAAAAGTGTCATCATAACCTTAAATCCAAAAGAAAAAAAAGCATACAAAGCTTGCTATAACCAATTAACCAATTCACCTGATACTCTTGTTAGCCTGACTGACATCACTGCAATTTTGCCTTTGCTGGAACCTCTGGCTTCTTCTAAGTTTTTCATTGAATTTTTGACCAATTTTAAAATCAGAAGAGATTTTCTTCATTTTTTCTTCAAATAAGGCAGACAATCTCAAGGTCATACTGTAAATCTGCAAGGATATGAAAACAAAACTAGAATTACAAATATCTTTAAAAAATCTATTTCCAAATAGAATTTTTTTTGTAATCACTGATACTACTTGCAATGTATTATATCACTGCTTATGTAGATAATGGCTGTTACCTATGTTATCTATTTCCAACCCCCTCCCTTCAATGACATAAAAGAAACAGCAAGTATCAAATATGTACCTCTCAGATGAGAAGAAAGTTTTAAATCAAGCAACTCTCTAGAACCTAACGAACCAGGACTGATGTCTGTATGTCAATGAATCACTACTATTTTTTTCCCATTTTCCCATCTGCATGTACAAACCCAAAAATGTACCCTTTCCTAAAGTTAGATGGGAAGTTGGTTGGTTTTTAAAGCTGCTATTTAAGGTGAAAAAAGCAGTGTCTCTTTGATATAAAGGAACAAAAGCACTTTTACACCAGTCTTTACAATTTGACTGCTTTGATGCCACCTAGCTCTAAATATGAACTACAAACAAAAGGATGCCTTAAATCCAGAAGAAAATATATACTAGAACTTAAATGTATTCTAGAACGTTAATCCATGTTGAAAGATTATTTGTGTTTTAATAATTTTTATAATTAACATTAAATCTTTGAAGAAAATATATACTAGAACTTAAATGTATTCTAGAACATTAATCCATGTTGAAAGATTATTTGTGTTTTAATAATTTTTATAATTAACATTAAATCTTTGAAAGAACAGTAATGTGATATGAATACCACTATAAATAACTTTGGGTACAGCAATATGTTTACAGAAGTCCCTATATTCCTCTGTAATTACTCCTGAAAATAAGTTCAAAAGTCTAATGTTCGAAAGTTGAACATCATTCTTACGTATGGCACTAGATTCGGGTGACACTCCAACACCAGAAAACTTAAAAAAAAAAAAAAAAGTACATGAGACACAGGAATTTCCTATATGCTTCTCATATACAAATGTATATACACCAAGTTTTGAAAAGTTATCCAACACATTAATTCCCCAGCACACTGGCTACAAGGGTGGGATGTTTGTAAAAATTAATTGTATATTTATTTAATATTCCTTGTATATTTATTATACCTCATCAAGTTTTGAAAAGTTATCCAACACATTAGCATTTCAACAAAAATTTAGAAATGTGCTATTTCTGTTCTTAATCAGATAGCTTATGTGTTACTTCTTCAGACACAAAATATCAATATGCTGTCAGAAGTCCCACCCCCACTTCAGACCTTCCTTTTATTATGTTTAATATTCTTCTAGTCTCTATCGATGTTCCCACTCCATTTTTAAAGATACGTATAAAAATACGAAACTCTTCTCATATTCTGTATCAAATTTGTTCACTTTCTACTGGTACCCTCACTCCTACCAAGCTTCATTTGTTCATAAAACTTTAGATTATGATAAATGTAAACTGTTGTACGGAAAAACTGCAGATATTTGGGCAAAAGCTCTATTCTTTATAGCAGTCTTACTTTATTCACTTATCTTTAATGTTCCAACCTCTATAATCAAGTGGAAAAGTACACAAATCATGCATTTTTTTTAATAAACCACTTTAAAACATTACCTTTGATCTCTTGTTTGGTGTATATGCTTTTGCATTGCTAAATCTCAACCGGATGTCTTTGCAAAATTCCATAGGGTTGTCATAATTTCCTGCTTCTAGGGTTTCCCTCACTGTTCCAAAATCCATTGGAGTATCTATAATATCTCGGTAGTCCTAGGTTTCAAAAAGAGTAATTAGTTCACAGACTCATTTCCTGCTTTTAGTGCATTGCTAAATATCAACCGGATGTCTTTGCAAAATTCCATAGGGTTGTCATAATTTCCTGCTTCTAGGGTTTCCCTCACTGTTCCAAAATCCATTGGAGTATCTATAATATCTCGGTAGTCCTAGGTTTCAAAAAGAGTAATTAGTTCACAGACTCATTTCCTGCTTTTAGAAATGTAAACATATCTAAAATATTCGAAATGATAGAAGAAAGAAAAAAAAGATCAGAAGGATCTGAAGATTCATCAGTAATGTTTAAAGAGAGGCCCAGACAAAAGGGAAATATACCAAATATTAATGTCTACCTATTGATAGTGGGACATGGTTTGGTTTTTTATTTTCTCCCCTGCTTTATATACTCTTCTCTAATTTCCAAGCTTCCTACAGTAAATCTGTGCTGTTATAACCTGTCATCTTCCAATTCCCCTATTTGTGGAGAAGAAAAACACTTTTATTTAATTCACTGTTTTCCTGGTGTGGGCCTACTTAAATAATAATCATGTAGAACCCTCTCATTATTATGTAACACTGGTTAACTAACTCCGAATTTAAGTGAGTTACAAGGGTGTCTATAAATTCAAGAAAACTGTGTAAAACAAAACAGCATCTAACTTAATGGTAAGAGGGGAAAAGTTAGCATAAAGCCTAGACATCTTACTCTCTGAAGTTTAATTTAAACACCTCTACCCCAATCTCCTCTCCATAAAACAAAAAAAGCCCCAAACATTCAAATAAGAGAAACTTACTGGATATTCATCCAAATCAACAGGTTGTCTAAATGGTTCAGAATCTTCACACTGAAAAATTAAGTTCACTAGTTCCTTACACTGTTTCTTCCAGTTGCTTTCAACATAGTTGGGAGCTCTACTGCTCCTTTTTTTCCAATTATGGACCTGAAAATACATTCACAAAATTTGAAAGTTTTTTCAGTCTTGGGAAAAATCACACTACAGTATATATAAGATGGTGGTAAAAATGCAAATGAGCTATTGTTGTCTTCTGTATCGTGTCATAAGAATTGTGTCTACTTTAGATTGTGTCTATCTAGTTGGAAAAATTCACTTTTCTATAAAACACCAATAATGTCACAAATGTTGCTCTAAACATATCTTTTAATAAATGATATGTAAAAACTAGCAATAATAACACTTGTCAATATAACATGCCAATTTCAGAAAAATTACAAGATTAACTATGAAAAGCATATTGCAACCAGGGCACATTATCTGATGAAAGGCTATTCTACCACCTCTCTCCCAAGTTCATAAAATTTGTTTTCACAAAATATAAATCATCACATTCGACAATGTGATTAGCAGAATAATGGCCCCATCAAAGAGGTCCATAATCCTCAGAATCTATTACTACATTACCTTACATGGAAAAAGACATTTTGCAGATGTTAACTAACAGTATGGACCCTGAGATGGAAGATTATACTGAATTAACTGCCTGGGCCAAATATAATCACAAAGTTTGTTTATAAGAGAAAGGCAGAAGGGTCAGAGTGAGAGAGAGATTAGAAGATGATATGCTGCTGGCTTGAACACAGAAGAAGGTGGCCAAGGAACAGGGGCAGCATCTAGAAGCTGGAAAAGACAAAGAACTATTCCCTAGAGTTTCCAGCCATGCCAACACCATGATTTTAACCTAGTGAGACCCATGTCAAACTTCTAATCTATCGAATTGTAAGGCAATACATTTTTATTGTTTAGGCAATTAAATTTGTCATTTGCTACAGCAGACATACCAAACAAATACAGATACTAAACACTGAGAGTCTACTTAGAAATGAAATTATATAAAAATGACAAATCAGGTAAGACTATTTTAGGTCTAACCTTTTGGTGTTACTCGGGGCAAGCATTCGGTGAAAGTTAGTATTTGATAAAAAGCTTACACTTAAAGGGGTATTTGGATAAAATTTTAAATCACCTGTGTTAAAATGTTTTAAGCATTTTCGTATTAATAACCTTTACACTTTTAATAACCTATTACACTGAAACTTCAGGGGCTAATTGATGATGACACCCCATTATAATTACCTAGTTTCCTAAACTTATTTCTACACATCATTCTCCTTCACCTCTCAACCTCATTTCCCCAACAAATCACCATTTTTAAAAACTTCAGTCACCAAACCTTAATTTTCCACTTAAAACATCATCTTCCCTTCCTCTCCATGTCAAGCAACTCTATCCTTGAGGAGGTTCCTATCCTTTCGCACTACACTCCTAACTCATCTCTTTACAACCCATCTTCTGCAATGAACTCCTAACTCATCTCTTTACAACCCATCTTCTTATCCTTCAAATTCTATTTATCTATTTTAGCTGTGCAAGTGATTCTCTACTTTAAATTTAAATAATACCTTGAATTTCAATATCACCATAATCTGCTCCAAACATAACAGCCAGATACAGCCACTCAGCTCACTCCAACATTTAACCTCTACACCCATCAGGCCAGTGCCCTTACTAGCCCATGGACAAGCTATACCCTCCTACTTTTTGCCTTTGTTCTAATATCCCTTATTTTTTTGAATGTCCTCTTCTTATACCATCTCACTCTGAGAATACAGTCTGAATCCCAACTCTTCCACTAAAATCTTTCCTAACTATCCTGCTTTCAGTGATTTCTCCCGTTTCTCTTATAAAATATTCAACATCTGTATCAATATAACTTTTCAAAGGCAAAAACCTCAAATCAAGTTGATTTTAAAATAAAGAACAAGAACCACAAGTCAATCATGCAAAGTGACTTACTCTTCTTCTTGCAGAAGATGTTTTAGGAAGATCACTATCATCCTAGAAATAAAATCAGAACCCCTTAAGTCTTAAAATTCTCATCAGACATATAATAATCTTAATAAAAAGCACATCAAAGACATTTGATCTTACCAGGGTTATAAATAACATGTTATTAACAAAAACTAAAAAAAATCTTATCAGATGATTATTGCAGTTCCCAGGCTTCAGAAAACCAGCCATTCTTAATTTAATAAAAAGCACATCAAAGACATTTGATCTTACCAGGGTTATAAATAACATGTTATTAACAAAAACTAAAAAAAAATCTTATCAGATGATTATTGCAGTTCCCAGGCTTCAGAAAACCAGCCATTCTTAACCCTTCTTCACATTCCCTAAGAACATGTGCTAATTCAGAAATTTAAAAACATAGCCATAAAAAGTTGCTTTGTGCATTTCCTAAATAGAAAACACACAAAGCAGCTTTAAATTTCTTTTATTTCTACCCATAAAACTCCAGAAATACATGGTCTTCTATACTTCCTAGATTTGGTGTTCTACACATTTTTTTATTCCCTGTAAACCAGTATATCCATTTTTATTCCAATATATATTAGCAAAAACCCCAGGAAACTATAACAGGAGTTTGTGTAGAAACTAACATTATATTGTTTTTAAAGAACATCTTTCCTGCAACTCCATACCACAGCCTAATTTTGGATGAAATGAAATTACACAACACCATTGCTATCTGCCTGTGATCTTACACTTCAGTATCACCTTGAGTAAAGGATGAAGGGCACTTTGAGCATGGTCAAGTTCATTAATTTTTAATTATGATTACCCCAACACTAAGATACTGGTTTTGCCAAAAATATCTCCAAGGTACTTTTTATAATACATCCTTCATTAGCTAACATTTAGAAAGACAACATACTCCACACTGAAAAGTTATTTGTTTACATATATTTTAATTGATATCAATTATTGGCTAAAACAAATTACTTCACTGGTCATCTAGATAATTCAAAACAATATACTTTTATCAAATGCCCTTTTTCATAGTTCTCTGGAACGCAGCAAGAATTGATATTTGGTAACCAGCATTTTCTACTTCACTCACTGTTTTTTAAATTACCATTTGAAAGCAACAAAAATCATAAAATTTGACAAACTTCATACCAAATACTCAGCATTTTGCTCATCGTTTTCAGACGTGTTAGAAAGTTCTGAGATATTTGTACAATCTGGATTCCTAAAAAACAAATTTTCACTTTAATAGTATGCAGATGTACTTACTGTTGCCAAGGATTCAAACTACACATTAAAATCTCAACAGTTCCCCCATCTATACATACCTCATTTCAAACAGAATACCAGGTTTTCACCCAACTCTCTGTGAAAATAACTGGCCATCTTAAATTCTAATTTAGAATCTTAAGTTTTTTTATGTAGTTAAGTTTGTACAAAAATTAAGCTGGTAATCCAGAAATACACATATTTAAGACCTCAATGGGATGAACGCTTGAATGAGTTTCTCAGTACCACCGCTAGCACTATCCATATGGTAAGTCCCATAAAAATAGTTGATTTGGGATAAAAGAGAATGTTAGGAAAAAAGAAAGTAGAAAGTAGAGTTATCTAGTAGAAACTAGATATCTTAATTTCACTGTACGCACAGAAGAAGAAAGAATGCAAAGTAGGGATATCTAGGCATAAAGGAAATGAAAATGGGTATGCAATTTTCCTGAATTAGAAAAGGTGACTCTGGGGAAGAGACAACTTAGTCGAGTCCCCAAGGCACAGGACAGAATCAAGCCAGGAAAGTTGACAGGCATCAGTTATTCTCCAGTTTTCAGCTAGACGTTGAAAATAATGGCACAGTTTATAAATTACTTTCCCCAATATATGACTCTTTCAAAGAGATTTTGCAACTATATGAAAAGAGCATTTAAGGTCATATAGCAAAATTTATTATTTTAAAGTAAACAGAAGCTAAAGAAATTGAACAAAGCCCCAATGAATGTTCACTAGAACAGTGTAAGTAAGCTAGAAAGAATTCGGATCTCAATTTCCAGGTCAGTTTCATTCTATGATTCCAAATTGATTTCCCGATGCAAGAAAATGTGTGGAATGTCCGTATATGTACAAACCACCTTCACAGGATATAATCCAAAATAGACTAAAACTCAATCTAATCATGAGAAAAGACCAGACAAGCCCAAATTACGTAAACTCTACAAAGTTTAAGTGGCCAACATTCTAAAAATGATGAGGTCATAAAAGAAAAGACAAGACTGAGGAATAGATTGAAAAAGACTAAAACAACAAAAAACTAAATGCAATGGGCATTTTGGGTTGGGTCCTGAAATACAAAAAGATTATCGGTGAAAAATTAGTGAAATTCAAATAAATTGTATACTTTTATCAACAGTAATGTACCAAGGTTAATTTTTTAACATTTTATAAGTATACCAAAGTTATGTAAGATGTTCACCTACAGGTAAACTGAATGAAGGGTGTATGGCAACTCTCTATAGTACAAAATTATTTCAAAATTCTAAAAAGTAAAGAAACTGAATTATTCAATTTCTCATTCCTTTATTGAAGTTATAATCATAATAAGTATATAAAGTCATCTAAAGTAAAACATTAAAAGAGTGTAATTCCGAGTAAAAAATAAAAACTAGATGGTTATAAGAGCACAACAAGCAAAGTCAGTTCGACACAACATCTACAATACGAGATTACTTACTTGATAAATTTTAAAAGTTGGTCAGTTATCTTTTTAGCTGATCTTGCAATTACACTCTCAGGTTCATTAAATGTTCTGGCATTATGTTCTATATTTCTGACTTCCCAGACTAATGCAGACAGCCTCCTTCAAAATAAAGTAAGCAATTTAGAGATTAGAAAATGAAAAGACAGAAACCAAGTTAAAAAAAATAAAATCCAGTATGTTAATTAAACAGGCATGACATATTAATTAAACCATAAGTGCAAAGTTATAATGAATAACTTTCTTATGTTGTCAACTTGGTCATAGTCATAAGCGATTACATTGGATATTAAACTGCAGAAAATAATTTAGGAACCAAAATCTTAACAGATCACTTAATCACATACAGAAAACCAACAAATCAACCCTTATCCTTTTCACACTGCCTACAAGTACCTTTTGAAGCTGTTGAAACTCAATGGAGAAAATCCTCTATGTTAAATACCATCAACCCTAAGAGAATCAATCTCTTAAACTGGCAAAGTGGTTTCTGATTCGAATGCACATTCCAGTGTTTAACTACAGAGATAAATTACACCAAAAATATGGAATCGAGAACTTTTTTGTAACAGTAATATATCCACGTAGGTGAATTATAAAATACCATCAACTGCTATAAACATCATTAAGAATAGGAAATTTTATAGTTACCAGTGCTCTAGAAGCCAAAGATAAAAAGTTAACCCCTGAATTCTTTCATCAAAGGCCAAAGTCCAATTATTTACTAATTTAATTTTATTTTTAAATGAAGCAGTTAAACAGGAATTTTAACATACACATAAAAACAAATATCATATCTAACATAACTTCTAGGAAAATCAGACTACTAAAGACGGAGGATTAAAACATGACATTTTATCTTATGCCAGCTCTCCCCATACCTAGCCATAGGCATCTAACACAATGCCTTAACAAAAGAGGAAAAGGAAACAAAATAATGTTAATTGGCCCCCAACTCCACCACCTTCACCATCAACCATCACTACCTACACCTCTTTGTTAACCTTAGCTGTTATGACCAAACAGCTTTTTAAACTGTTTTGAAAGCAAGTTTCTACTAACCTGTAAAATCGATTAACAAGTCTCATTCGAATTGTGTAAAGATCAGTTGGATAAGCTACTACAGTACAGTACTTTGGATATGTACATAGATCAACTGGGCCTGCAAAAGCTGCTGCTATATCTGTTAGGGAAGACAGAAGAGTTTTTATTTAATAAACCATTACCTCTAAGTGATATTTCTCTACAAATAATTCATAAGATAGAGCTACATTTAACATTATAGACTAAACCAAAAGGTAATAAAAATTGCAGTAAAAAAACATGTCCATTACGCTATTTTAAAAGACTTTTATGGAAAACTTGAAAACAGAACTTTTCACCCTAAAAAAAACTTACCCAGATTCAAAAGTTGATCTATACCACTGATAATTCGGTCACATTCTTCATTTCTCGATTTCTGACCCCATTCACCATCTTGTGGTTTGTAGAGCAACTTCTCTAGCTCATCTGATGTGACAGAAATACTAGCTCCTACTTCTTCAGGTGGATCAACTACAAAGCCCATCAAAAAAAAAAAATCCAAAAGGGGTGGGGTGAGAGGGAGAGAAATCAACCCAAAAAACAAATGTAAACTATACTGAAATTCAATTTCGAAAACTCACAAACTAGGTTCCCACCCCCACAGTCAAAAACAGAGCTCAAATTTGCAACTTGCTTAAAATTATCAATTGAGATTACCAAACTGCTTAAACTTAGATACAAACACGAACTACCCACATTAATAAAATTAAAAAGAGAGGCATTATCACAGTTTCAGTCGATTTCCTCAAAGAGGCAAGCTTAACAGAGAGGTCTCTGAAAACACAAACTGAACCAACAATATTAAAATTTTAAAACTTACATATGGCCAAAAGCTCATTTTTAAAAAGTTAAGACAAAATGTGTAAAATAATCCCAAAATGACAAACGGCTAATTTCCTTAATTTTAAGGGAGCTCAAATGAAGCAGAAAGGAGTTTTTTAAACTCCTAGGAGAAAATCTGAGGAAATTCAAGATATTTTAACTTATTAAGTATCAGTTCTAATATACAGAGATAAGGAAGTCATCTATTATGTGCTGGCTATTAGGTTAACTCAGAGTACTTTTCCAATGGAGGGAAAGGGGCACTGAGAAGAGAATGGATATAACAGCTTATAAACTAAATGGTGGGGGGAATGCTTATGGGAGTTTTTCTTCTAGAAATGTATCAGTTAAAATTCCTACAAATGTTTTATATAGCATCGGTTGATTAATTTTAATTTCTTTGAGAATGCTCTTAACTTCAATGGCTTTGATCTATTAGAATTTCTTATATAATCATACTTTTGGCTGAGATGGAAATTTTTTTAAATATGGATGATAAATGACTCATAAGCTTATCATGTTCATGAAAAAAAAATTCAACTTTATTTTCTGTATAAACATAAGAGAAATGGGGAAGAGGGGGACATCCCACCACCCTAATAAGCCAAAATTGTTTTATTTTTACACTCTATTCCAAAGCTGTACCTTCAATATTTCAATCAAAAGGAAAAGGCAAAGAGGCTATATGAGAAGGCAATATAAAGTGCTTAAAAAAAATTTGGCTTATCGAAGCCAGAATCTGAATTCAAATCACATCTTTGCCACTTAAAAACTATGACACTGGGCCGGTCCGGTGGCGCACTAGAGAGTGCGCCGCCTGGGAGCGCAGCGGCGCTCCCACTGAGGGTTCGGATCCCATGTGGAGACCGGTTCCCGCTCACTGGTTGAGCGCAGTGCGGGTGCAACACCGAGGGTTGCAATCCCGTTGCCAGTCCCCGGTGCGGGCATGACACCGAGGGTTGCGATCCTGTTACCGGTCAGTAAAAAAGATAAAAAGGAAAAAAAAAAAACTATGACACTGCGCAAGTTTTTAGCTTGTGTCTTAATTTACACACCAGCAAGACAAGAAAAGTAAAAAGTCTCTACCTCACAGGGTTGTTGAGAGTATTTGGTTATGGGTAGAGCACTCAGAACAGTGTCTAGCCTAGAGTTGGTGGCTCAGTAGTTAACTAGGACGTTTTTTGTTTCCAGACAAGATGGAATAACAGGGACTGCACAGATCATGCAGGTGGAAACAACCCAAAAAAAAGACAAAATATATAAAACAACAGTTTTCAAGACACTGAACACTAGGCACAGGACAAGAATCCCACAGAGAATGAAAACAAGTGAGGTGAGCCCTATGATTACACATGCTTTCCTTGAAAGAGCAGCCAGGCTGTGCACAGTGCAAGCAGGAGGAACCCAGGTGGCGCCAGAGGGATTACCTGAGAGGAAGAGACAACTGAGAGTCCAGAAAGAATGAGGAAGCTAGAGTTTACAGAACAGAGCACTGGAGAGGAGAAACCTGCCAAGGGTTCCCCCTGGAGTATTCTGCTGAATACTGATCAGCCCAAAATGACAGCAGACCAGGAAAAGCAGCAAATGAAAGGATTACAGATAATGGGGCCTGATGTTCAAAAGGGCCAGAAATCATGCCTGTTCCCACCAACCAGACTGGAAAATCTCATGATTCACAGAGCATTGGATAGACTATATAAAAGGGTTTTGGGGCCGAACCCGTGGCGCACTCGGGAGAGTGTGGCACTGGGAGCGCAGCAGCACTCCCGACGCGGGTTCGGATCCTATATAGGGATGACCGGTGCGCTCACAGCACTCACTGGCTGAGCGTGGTGCGGCCGGTCTCAAAAAGGACAGAAGAAAAAATAAAAACTAAAAGGGTTTTGCCTCAGTAGTAAGGAATAATTAGCTGTCACGTGAGCACTGCTCCAATCCCACCTAACAAATCTTAAAAGGATAAAATTGCTTCTAACTAATTTAATTCTACCACAGAACAAAGTTCAAGAATACAAAAATATACGTCAACCAACAAGGTAAACATCACAATGTCTGATATCAAATTAAAAATTACAAAGCATGTAAAAAATCAGGAAACCCATTAAAAAAAGAAATATTAACCAACCAACCAGAACTGGCAAAGATGTTAGAATTAGCAAAGACATGAACATAGTTATTATATTCTACATGTTGACTAAAAGAAAAAACTTTATACATGTAAGATAAGAAAAAAAACCCAAATCCAACCTGAAGAGATGAAAACAATATGTGAGGTGAAAACTATACGTGATAGTAATAAAAGCAAATCAGACATTCCAGAGGAACACAGTAGTAAACTTGAAGACACAGCAATAGAAACTATCCAAAATGAAACACTGAAAAGATAATAAAGCAGAAAAAAAAATCCACAGACACAAAGACTATATAAGAAACAGAAGAAATGATGATATCCAAAAAGTAATACATAACTCAATTAAAAAATGAATTCACTAGGAAGGTATAATTTAAAAAAAAAAAAAAAAAGTGTTGCCCAGGAGCTACATGAACCCATATACAGTGCTGTTAGAAACGTAAAATGGTACAACTGCTTTGGAAAACAGTTTGGCAGTTCCTCAAAAGGTTAAACATATAGCTACCTACCACAGGACCCAAGCAATACATATATACCCAAGAGAAATAAAAACTTTTACATGATGTTCACAGCAACATTATTCATAGCCAAAAAGTAGAAACAACCCAAATGTCCATTAATCGATGAATAAAGTGCAGTATATACATTCAATGGAATACTATCCACCAATAAAAGGAACTCTCTTGGTTTCTAAATCCATTCTCCAATAAAATGAACCATGGCTCCATGGAAAACTGGCTGATTCCACAGCTGGGGCAGTGAAAGTACAAGGTGACACTATACACCTCATAGTGTCAGAAAATAAAATTCTCAAAAAATGATGAAAAAATGTCAAAGGAACATAGGAATCAACTTGGAGGGGCTCCTGATGGCCAAATCTGTGATAATGAAGCAACAAACAAATAATGATAGTAACTGAGTATAAATTTTCTTACTTTATAAAATTTTGAGTACATACTAATAAATAATGGAAAGATGTATCGTACAATAAAATTTCAACTAATACATGTGAAAGAAACAATGAAAAAACAAAAATCACTATTTGACAAACACCACCCACAGTAATTATTATTTCAGGGAAGAATCATCAACGGATACTAAAATTAGTGGACAGAAATAGGATGAGAAACAGAATATTTCATAAATATATCCCCACAAAACAATAACTACAAAAAATACTTTATACTAGAGAAACTTGACAGATACCACCTAAATCAAATGATTACAGTTAACATACCCAGTTGTGATGGTTAATTCTAAGTGTCAACTTGATTAAAGAATACCAAGAAATCTGGTAAAACTATCTTGTTAGGTGTGTCAATGAGGGTGTTTACAGGACAGATTAGCATGTCAACCTGAGTGGACTGGATGGGAAAGATCTGCCCTCAATATGGGCGAGAACCATCCAATCTGCTGGGGTCCCAAAGAGAATAAAAATGGAGAAAAAAAGGTGAATCACTCTCTCTCCACTGGAGCCGGGATATACGCTGCTCTTCTGTCCGTGGACAATCAGAATTTGAGACTGCTCAGTTTTGGGGCTCTAGGACTTGCACCAAGGACACTATCAGCTTCCCTGGGTCTGAGGCCTTTCAACTTGAACAGAGCTATCTACGGGCATCCAGTTTGCAGACGGCCTGTCATGGGACTCCTCAGCCTTCACAATCACATCAGCCAATTCCCCTAATAAATCCCCTCTCATATATTTACATACATATCCTACTGGTTTCTGTCTCTCTGGAGAACCCTAATACACCAGTAATAGGAAAATTGATATCATCTGTCTCTTGAAATGATGCACTGAGGACACATCACTTCTCTGCCAATCTTACCAAAAATGCAAAACCTGTATTTAATCAAGAGGCAGCATCAGGCAAACCCAAAGTAAGAGAAACGCTACAAAATAACTGCCTAGAACTCTTCAAAAAATGTTAAGGTCATGAAAGACTGAGGGATCCCAAATTAAAGACAACTAAGACAACACAGCAATTAAACACAACATGTGAAAGAACATTAGTAGAACAACAGATAAAACAGGAATAAAGTCTATAAACTAGATAACAGTACTGTACTAGTGATAATTTCCTGATTTTGATAAGTGCACTGTGCTGGCTGTATAAGATGGGACATTGACATATGCAGAAATTTCTTGTACTACTTTTATAACAGTTTGTAAATCTGAAATTACTTCAAAACAAAAAGCTTTAAAAAGTACAATATAAAGGACATTCTTGAGGGGGAGGGGAGAGAGGGAGGAGGGCGGGAGGTGTCGGTGATGGGCCATAATAATCATATACATTGTATATTGACAATATAAAAATTAAAAAAATAAATAAATAAATAAATAAAATAAATAAATAAAAAGTACAATATAAAAAGAACATATTCAAAAAAAGAACAAGATGCAACGCAGATATACAGAGAAGATTTTCTTGAAAATTATAAAGAAAAGGAGAAAAACATCAACAGGACAAGAAGATAAACTTCTTGATCTAAAAATCTAATAGGTGAAAATGGTACCTTATTTATTTTAATATACATTTCCTTGACTATTAATACTGAGCCTCCCCTTCATATGCCTCTTAATTTACCTGTCTGCTCATGTCTTTCGACAATTCTTCTAAAGGCTTATTGGCCTCATTATCATGTAAGAGCTCTTTCTGTAAGTTCCTACTGGTTTGTAATATCCTTTACAAGGAAGCAACTTAAAAGCATTGCTTGGAGCCAGATGGCTTGAGTAGGAATCCAAGTTCATTCTCTTTGTAGATAATAGGGCACTTCAAAAAGATCATGGAAAGATTTTAACTATATATCAATTCTATATTTCCACAAACTTTTTGAAGTGCCTGTATATGTGACTTTAGACAAGTTACTTAAAACTTTCTCAGCCTTAGTTTTTTCATCTGTAAAATTAATAAAGCATTGGGCTGAACCCGTGGCTCACTCGGGAGAGTGCAGCGCTGGGAGCACCGAGGCCGCCGGTTCAGATCCTATATAGGGATGGCCGGTGCACTCACTGGCTGAGCACGGTGCGGGCAACACCAAGCCAAGGGCTACGATCCCCTTACTGGTCACAAACAAACAAACAAAGCATCAACCTCAGTGTAAGATTAAATGAGATACAAATGAAGTTCTTAGAACAGAGTAAGACCTCAAAAAATGTTGGTTTTTACTTATCTATTATATGCTGCATACATCATAAAATGTTTCATACATACTATTTACTTAAGTTATTAGGCTTGAGAAAATCTAACGAAGAGTCTTTGGTGACTGTCAAGAGTGATTTTTACACAAAATTTGGGGGGAAAAATCCTCATTGCCATAAACATTCTTATTTCCAAAATAAAACTAGTCAATGGGTGATAGAGATATGATGGAGAGTAAAACATAAAGGAAAAGGGCTTGGCTCCTGGGGCAGACACAGCAGAATCTCAGAGGAAAGATATCATGTGTCTCAAAATGGTGGGGTTGTAGAAGGACAAGAGTTTTTATGTTTTATAAGGTGAATAAACACTAATGATAAAAGAAAGCCTGGCAGTGAAGAAAATGGAGGAAAGAGATATAAAGCACCCTTTCAAATAACTTTAGCAAGAGCTGAAATGTTGAATACAGCCAAACAAAAGGCACAATAGATATAATCAAGAGACTTGACCCCAAAAAGGATGGAGGAAACTAAAACTGTTGGAGGAAATAAGTATAAGTACCAGATCCTTCAGAAGGTAACAGCAGTGGGGTGGCAAGCACTACAGAAGGGCTGGCTTTCAAACAGAGTCATCTTTTTCTCACAGGAAAGGAACAGACAAACCACAGTAAGACAGACTGAGGTAAAGCAGAAGACACATGGAAATGAAGTTAGATCTTTTCCTTAAAGGAAGAACAAGGTTAATAGAGTAAGGATGAGGAAAAGAAAGTGGAGGCAACAAGGAAGTCAATGGAGTTTAAAGTAGGGTTACACGAGAAATGGTATTAGACTACTAAAATACACAGCCAGAATCAAGGTGCGCTCCCACCGCAGGTTTGGATCCTATATAGGGATGGCCGGCGCGCTCACTGGTTGAGCACGGTGCGGCCAGTCTCAAAAAGGACAAAAAAAAAAAAAAAAAAAAAAAGTCGGTTACTGTAATAATTTTTGGGGGGAAGTTGGCCAGTATGGGGACCTGAGCCCTTGAACTTTATGTTGTAACACCACTCACTCTAATCAACTGAGCTAATTGGACAGCCCCATGTAACAATTCGAATACATTTATCAAAGAACACAAATGTACTCTATATGTATTAGCAAGATAAAAAAAAAATTGAAAACAACATAAAAATATTTTCATTATTTAACAAATATATACCATTATCGGGAATTGGTTCCATGTCCCATGGACTAAGTTTTTCAATTTCAGTATTGTCCCACCTGTTTTTAAAAAAAGCATAACAAAAAAACTCTGATTAGCCTTTCATGAAAACAAGTAGATAATAGCTAGGCATTCATTATAAAAGTAAGCAAAAGGATACAAAATATCAAACTTAACCTTACTGCAGTAATGAAATTTTAAACATTAACAGTAAATTTTCTAGGTTACATTATTAAAAGTGTAAAAATGTACGTCAGGATTAAGAACAAAACCAAAAATTTTGTGTAACCTGTACCCAAGTGCAGAATAACTCAAAGACAAAGTATAAAGGCCTCAAATACCATGCTTCAGAATGCAGACTTTATTCCACAGACACTGGGTTTTATTCCATAGCCAATGGAAAAACATCAAAGATTTAAGAAGATTAATGATATAGTATCTGCTCCTGAACTAATCCTGACAATACTCAGTAAAGGAAATATAAGGAGGCTATACAAACAGTCCCAAGGAAGCAAGCAGAACCTGAACAAAGGGGAGTACTAGTGAACAGGAAACAAACAGGTGCATGTCTGAGAGATATTCCAGAGGTGAGACTGACATGACTTAATGACAGAAAAATCTGTGCTTCTTTAACCTGAAACTAATACTCATACAACAACCTGTCACACAGTTATTTGTAGATAATTAGTTTTCATCTGTATACAAACCTAACAATGTAACACTGGAAATGACTATCAGGATACTGCGGTTGATACGGCTCTTGACTTAACACCGTTCCAAACCACCAAGCATCATCAATAATAGAGCGGAATCTGTCACCTATAAAAGAAATGGTCAAGTCTGAGGCATCCATTGCTAACATTTACTAACATTCTTTAATCAATAAAGTACTATGTTAAAGGTAATACAGAAACAAAGTATATTTTTATTTTAAAATGAGACATCTTCCTGCACTCCCCAGCAATCTTCAATGACAAAATAGATGTAAAACAGATATACAGTGGTCCCCTGATCCTTGGTTCTGCTTTCCCCAATTTCAGTTATCTGTGGTCAACCACGGTCCAAAAATATTAAGGTATTTTGAAAGAAAGAGAAAGAGAAAGTGAGAGACCACATTAACTTAACATTTATTACAGTGTATTATTATAAATGTACTATTTTTTAAATTATTATTGTTAATCTCTTACTATGATTAATTTATAGATTAAACTTTATCATAGTTTTATGTATATATAGGAAAAAAAC